AATAAAAATTCTTAAATTTAATTAATATTAAAACAAAAAAGAAAATGAAAGTGAAGCCAATACCAATGATGAAGCCAGTGAAACCAGCATCACTTTCAGCATTACCTCCAATCCTAATGTAAAATTTAATTTATCTTATAATAAAAATTTAAGTAAAACAAAATTCTTATTAATTCACTATATAAATGATAATTTTTATATTAACTTTATATTAATAAATATTAAAGAAAAAGAATTTTAAATATGTTAGTATTAAGTATTTGAGACTTTATTATTCTAGTAATCATATGATAACTAGAAATTTTGAATACTAAAACTTAAAAAAATAATTAAAATTATATAAAAATAAGTTTATATCAAGATAAACTTATTTATTTAACAAAAATTATCATAAATCTCTTGATATCTACATTTTATATAAATAGTTTTTTAATTAATTCTAACTATAAAGATTGTTAAATAGATTTTGAATAGATTTTATTTATTTATTTCAAGTTTCTTTTAACTCTTTTTTTTGCAGTAGTAATTAATTCACTATCATTAAATCAGAGTTAAACTAATTGCTTTATTTTTATTTGATTTCTAAAATCTTTATTAATAATTTTTCAGATAGTTAAATGGTTATTAATAGTTTTATTAATTCACTTTAAAAGAAAAGTTATCAATTTATCAATATTTATTTGCTTATTTTCTTTATATTTAATTTTGTAAAAATTGAATTTAATTGATTACCTACTTTGGTTTATATATAATAATTTTAATAATCATAAATATACAAAAGTTATATTCTTAATTAAATAATATATTTACTAATATAAATGTTTATATAATTTTCAGAAATCAGAAACAACCTTTTCTCATATTCTTGTAAAATTTTATAATACACCAAACATTTAAATGTCACTTTTTTTGTTTAGTATATATTATTTTAATGTATTATCATTTATTTAAGAAAAAATTTGAATTATTATAAGGAATTATATCAAATAAACAATGCCTTGATGGATTAATATATTGCCTAAATGTTATTTATATAAAAGAAAAAGTTATTATTAATTACTAAAAAATATTAATAATAAGCAAATTTAGATATAAAGTTACCAAATCACAATGTATAATTCCTTCTTCATGTAAACATGATACACAAGTTGTATTTCTCTATCAAATTTATCCTTCAAATAGTTTTAATCGTACCGCACATTAGCATATTCCATTTCTAACAAATAATTTTTCGATTCAGATTTTAATAAATTTTTTTTTTTACAAAAAAAAAATACATATATAAATGAGTTAAAAATAAAATACAAAGTCAATGTAAAACTATAATTGACCTCATTATTTAAGATTTTATACCTTTGATGATGTAATCCCAAAAAGAGAATAATATTATCATTTCACGTTGAAGTTAAATTTTAGTTTAATAAATGAAATATTTTATAATAAGACGACCGAATATATGTTATATTTTGTAATTACCTTACGGACAAGTTCTTTAACAGTGTCACTGTTAAAGTATCTTCATGAATTATTGCTGCGAACTTTTCCAAATTGCACAATAGACTTCCCGTATCTATCTATTGAAATTTGCTAAATGTTGCATGGGTATCATATAAAATTTTACTATTGAAGATTTTCATATTAATCTATTTTATAATACATCGAATCGTTAATATAATTTCTTAATAAATTGTCTTTTTAATAACCTGCATTCTTGACGTTGCCATTTCAAATTTCGCGAAAGTATTCAATATAAATTGCTTTTTTTTTTTTTTAAAAAAAAAAAAAATCCATTAATATTTTGAAAATAATAAAATAAACCTTTTAACTTGAAAACATTTATTTTGGTTTCAAGAAAACGAGGTATATTATATTTCTTAAAGTTATCACGAATTCATTAAAGTTTCGCGCATTACTTAAGCATTATTAATAATACGCAAGTTATTAAATTTTAAAGATTTTGGATATTTCAACGGGAAAATGTCTTATGTCCAATCATTTGCGTAATTCTTAAAAGACTTGAATTAATACGCCTACAGAACTGGAATTAAAATTTGAAAAGGCTTGGAAAACGACATTAATTATGGAAATAGCAATGCGTCAGATTACAAAAAATTTTATTAAATAATAAAAAAATTTGATGAAGAATTCAAAGAATTTCCCTATCTTTATAATTTCGTTAAAAATACATATCTATTTTATTATTCACCAAAACAAGTACTTTTTAACAAATTAGATTTGAAAAATTAAAAAGAGAATTTGACGGAAGTCTTGAAAAAGGGGGCTCAAAGAAAACAACAAAAAAATATTCCATTGCAAGATATTCAGCCACAAGAATTTGAAATAAAAACTTAAAATAAAAATGAAGCCGACGTAAAATTTCGAAAATATTGCCGGAATTCACTAGTATTTTTATTATACAGTATTACTAGGTAACGGGAACCGTCGAAGCATCCGAAGCGTTGATAATTGATCAACCGTGGTACAATACTTATTGGTAGATCACGTTGGGACAGACACCACATGACGCTTCGGACAATAGATCAAAGCTATATCAGAATTACAGAAAAATTTTCAATAGTAAACCTTTATACGATACCACACAGCACACCCAATTTTTCATGCATTGGATCGCTCATAGGTAAGTCCTAAAAAAAAAATTTTTAAGTATTACAAAATTCCCTATTATATAATACCCCCCGATTTATAATATCCTACCTTCTAAAATACCCGGCATCTTACAGGATATTATTCAATTTAAATTGTTCTTTGTAAGACTCGGGGTATTATATGCAGTGCTAGACGGTAGTACATGTTTCTATCAGAGTAGCTATTTAAAAAGCTGAACAACGCGCGCCAAAGAATGTTTCATGAGAAAATGACATCGTGCTCCAAAGTAAACCGGTGGCATGAATGCCAGGGGTCGTTTATGTTGATATATCCATTTCAAGATGCTATACAGTGAGTTCCAAACGAGCCCATTGATGAATTAAGTTAAGAAAAAAGAGTTTATATCCACATATAAGTAAGTGTCATAAATCTATTTTCATACCTTGTTTATACGAATATACAGCGGCAGCATGAAAATAGTAAATAAATTTGGGCATTTTTTATTAGATTTTTGCGTATAATTCTTTCAATTATTTGATTAAATTTATCCAAAAAAAAAAAAAAGATAATATAAATCAATTTTCACGTCGAACTAAAGATAAAAAGTAAACCGATAAATGTTTTTTTATTTATTTTTTATTTAAATTAAACTTAAAGTCACGTGGTTATTAATCTGTCCGGCTTTTTTAAATTTTTATTATAATTATCTCACTTCCAGAACTTGCAGAGAACGAAAAGAATCAACGAATTAAAGAATGGCTTAATGAATTGAAGTGTCATATTATTGCAAATAAATGGACTACAGGAAACAAGAGGTTACTGAGAAATGGTGAAAATCATAATAATTTTTTTAAATGACATATTATACAAAAGCCAATACACGAAAAGTTTACTAATATAGCAACTATTGATTTTTTTTTTAAATATCTTAGCAAAAAACAATATTTTAATACAAATAAAAGCATACTAATAAATCTTGTTGATAAAGTTCTCTATAGTATGAATATTCCAAACCGGTTGCATTTCTTCGAATTCTTTGGTTAAGAGCGGTGAATCTTCACTTGCTCCATCCCTGGCAACAATATGGTGTCCTGCGTCTAAACAAGACTTAATGGCCATAGGAAGCGGAGGATGCGGCTGACCTGATTTATTACCGATATAAAATCTTTGTGATTGTGGCGAAGGAACATATGGATTATACGGTTCTAAGGTAAGTTCAGAATTTTGGTTGTAGGTGACGGCAAAAAGTTCATGTCCTTCTTTGTTTATGTTAATAATGCTGAAATGATTGCCAATCTTCTTTAATATCCAGGATTGGTTTTCTT